TTAACAAATTTTTTGTCACTTTGTCTTTCTTGTGTCTCTTATTGGATTCTATTTTTAATCCTGTGCCTTTTGAGACCATTATTTTTTCACTTTACATTTAGTGTTTTTAATAATGTATTTTTCATACATTTTTTTCTGTTATTAAATTCCTATTAGTTTCCTTGATTTTTTACTCTCTAAAGATGCAAGCTCTATTTCCTTTTTATATTATTTTTTAGTGTTTCATAAGGTTTTATTAGAGTCTGATTTCACTCAACCAGTGGTTATTTTCAAAATAATTTTTAATCTATGTTTCTGTATTTTTTAGTGGTGAATTTGAAATCATATTGTTCGAATTTCATGTTTATAAGAAATAATTTAATAAGAATTTTCCTTTACCACTAAGCTCAACACTGTTTATATAATTTGAAATTTTATATCAAAGTAGTTACTATTATATTATTTTGCAAAATAAAATTCTTCTCTTTCTAGAGTAATTTTCTGCATATACATTCTGTATATATTTTGTTAGATTCATACCTAAGTATTTAATATTTTTGGTGCTATTGTAAATGTTATTGTCTTAATGCATTTCAAATTTCTAATTTTCACATCTTCCTCATTACTGGATTACTTCCCTGTTTTTCCGAAATCCATCATATTGTATTTTCCTAAGAGTGGGTGTGTGCTGTTCAATATTATACATTGACAAAATAAATAAATAAACAAGCTAGAATCACACTAGATGACTTAGAGAATATTTTGCAAGGTATTAATGTGAAGACAAATTTGATGCAGAAGGCAATTTGTAATTCAAAGAAAATTATATAATATTATAATATAATATGATGAATAAACCCCCTGCAAGTTATGGGTAGGTTATAGAAATAGGTAGATGGATTTATATGCTTATGGAGAATTTAGGAAAGAATACATGCAAGGTGATTAAAATGGATTATGCAGGAGTGGGCACAGTGATGTGGATGGAAAGGAAAATAATGATTGCATAAAAATTTTAGAGCACATATAAACTGTATTTTTAAACCTTAAATATATGTATTGACATATGCATAAAGGAAATAAAGAAACTTTTAGGAAAACACTCAAAATGGATGTTTGTAAAGTAAAATTTCTCAACCCTACATGTCTGAAGTTGTCCTGATTCACTCTGTATTTTGAAGGGCTAGATCTGTTACTGATGAGATGTCTCAAGCTATTCTTGCCATCATTCCTCCACAAGTGACCAGTTTCTTAATTCTTTCTGGAATATTTTAAGCTCTTCTCTGTTTTTAGATGTTGGCATTTCATAGTGATATGTCTTGGTTTGGTTCTTTTAAAATTCATTTCTCTAAGTCCTTTTAACAAAATCCATGTCCTTCTACTCCCTGGTACATATCCCCTTAAATAATTCTCTTGATGTGGTCCTCCTCTGCATTTCCTTGCGCATCTTTCTTGACTCTAATTAGGTTGCTATTAGACCCCTAAATTAATCTTACTCTCCTATGTTGTCTTTCAAATTTATTCTTTTTTGTTCTTTTAATCTCTTCATTTAATTTTGTGGGAAATTTCCCCAACTTTATTTTACAACCATTTTAGTAAATCTTAGTAAATTTCCAAAAATCAATTTAAAAAAATATCTAATGCCACTATCTCTTTCTCTGATAGTTCTTTTTTCTTTGTAACCAGGGGTGCAATATGTATTCTCAAATCTCTCTAAAAATATTAGAGGTTTTGGAAGTTTCTCCTGTTTCCTACAATATCTCTGTTTCTCCTGGGGCAACTTTTTCTCTTATTTAATGTTGTTCTTTCTTTCCGATATTGGAGACTTTCTTCAAATGTCTGCTGACCTGTGGTTATCTGCTTCTACTTAAGAGGAAGCTCTGGAAATCAATCAACGTGACTCACTAAATTAAAGAATAAAGAAGGAAAACGATATGAATAGCTCAATAGATGTATTTGATAATATTTAACGTCTGTCCATGATAAAACTCTCAGCAAACTAGCAATAAACAGAAACTTCCTCAGTTGTGTGTGTGTGTGTGTGTGTATGACATCATACTTGATGGCGATACTAAATGCATTTTCTCTAACGTTGGAAACAAGGCAAGGGATTCCATTCTCACCATTTCTCCTCAACATTGTATTTAAACTCTTAACCAGTGCAACAAGAAAGAAAAAAGAGGGCTTCTCTGGTGGTGCAGTGGTTGAGAGTCCGCCTGCCAGTGTAGGGGACATGGGTTCGTGCCCCGGTCCGGGAAAATCCTACATGCCGCGGAGCGGCTGGGCCCGTGAGCCATGGCCGCTGGGCCTGCGCGTCTGGAGCCCGTGCTCCGCAACGGGAGAGGCCACAACGGTGAGAGGCCCGTGTATCGCAAAAAAAAAAAAAAAAAGAGTTTTATTTGCTGATGACATGATTGTTTTTTTCTATAAAATCCAAAGGAAATCTACAAATATATTACTAGAATACATGAATTTAGGAAGGTCATGAATACATGGTCAATGTTTCTGAAAATCAATTCTATGTTCATACAATTGTTAGAAATAATTTAAAAAGCAATATCATTTAAAGTAGCCCCCTCAAACAATAAAATAACTAAGAATAATTTTAATGAAAGAAGTGTATGACTTCTATACTGAAAGCTGTAAACACTTCTGGCAAGATTAAGGAAAAATAAATAAATGGATTAGAGCTCAATATTGTTAAGATGTCACTTTTCACCAAATTTATCAACAAATTCAATGCAAACCTTATAAAACTCTAAAACACTTCTCTTGTAGAAATCGACAAATCCAATTTAAAAAATATGTGGAAAAACAAAAGACCTAGAAAACCCAAGACAATATTTTCCTAATTGACTTCAAAACTTACTATAAGTTGTAGTATTCAAATCAATATACTATTGGCACAAGGATAGACAAACAGATAAATAGTACAGCATAGAAAATCTAGAAATAGATCCATGCCTATACTGTAAGTTACTTTTTGAATATTTTCATTAACTTGGGGAAGGCAAAGATTTCTTAAATAGTACACTGAAGTTATTAGCCACAGAAGAAAAAAATGATAGCTTAACCATGTCAAAAGACATGGTCAAGAAAATGAAAGGCAAACCACAGAATGGGAAAAAATATTCATAATGCATATATTAAACAAAACACTTGTTTCCATAATATATACAAACTCCTACACATCAGTAAATAATAAATGACAATCTAATAATATAAATGGGCCAAAGACTTGAAAAGACACTTCACAAAAGGAGATTATGAATTGCCAATAAGCATACAGAAGTGTGCTCAATATTATCAGTCATTAAAGAAATACGAATTAAAACTATATGGGGATATCACATTATACATTATAGACTAAAATGGGTCAAACATAGACTTTGAAATACAGTTTGACAGGTTCTAAAACGATTAAACATATTCCTACACAATGACCCAACAATTCCACTCCTAGTTATTTATACAAGAGAAATTAAAACATCTTGCCACTAAAAAACTTGTACAAGAAGAACAGCTTTATTCAAACTAGTCCCAAACTAGAATCCACCCAAGTGTCCATAAACAGGAAAATGAATAAACAGATTATGGTAGGTCCACACAATGGAATACCTTCAACAATAAAAAAGAACAAATTTCTGTTCATCCAACAACATGGATGATGAGCAAAAGAAGTCAGACACAAAGCACATGTGTTGTATTATTTTCATGTATATGGAATCCAGGAACAGGCAAAATTAACATATGGTGACAGAAAGGACAGTAATGTTTCCCTCTGAGAGGCTGCCTGGGCACAAGTGGTCAGGAGGCAAGTTGAGGGGTGAAGGGTGTGTTGTTCTGTTCTTCATTTGTCAAATAACACAACAGTTTTCAGCACCATGTCTCCCTTGTGATCTCCACTGCTTCTCCAGGTGCTGCAGGGTACACTGGTTGCTTCTCTGACCTCTGGGAGCATCCTCCAACTACAACAGTAATTAGTGATCCTCTGACCAGTTTTTGTCTTATAGATTTTGGTAGCAATCTCTCATCTGCTCATTGCCCCCTGACAATCTCCTTGTCATTGTGAATCCAATCCCTTCATTAGCATTTTAGTGGGGGGGGAGATAATAAAAGAAAAGACAAATGATCCTCTTCAATCTGCAGTCTTTAATCAGAAACTTCTTTATGCAGAATTCAACAAAATAATGTGTCATTTCTTTGATGGTTTTGGGTACTGGTAAGTGACAATAATTTTCTTCTGGTTTGACAAAGAATCCTAATGCCTTCATAACTCTTATGAATACAAAATATTGATTAAAACATTATCAGAGCAATAAAATAATCACCTAAGAACCAGAATTAAAGGCTGAGGTTTAAAATTACTATCACAGAAAATAGCAGCAATTTCTGAAATTCAGATGTCTAGAAAGATTCACTATATAAAACAATAACACAGAAAGATTTATATTAACACAAAGTAGAAGTCCCGGAAGAAATGACTGATAGTCTTGTGAATTTCTCAGTTTATCCGTATCATATTCTTAACCACATCTTATCATTTATGAACTAGTTTTATAATACAAGATGGTATTTCTCTTAACAGTTATAGATCAGAGGAGGGGACATCTTGTTTTATTTTCTCTTAGTTATTAATTAAGAAACATTTTTCAAGGTTAGATTTTTTATTCCATTGTTTTCATTCCTCTGTTTATTCCACCTTGATTTTGTACAAATTTAAAATTTTTTTAATTAAAAAATATACCAGATAAGGGGAGATATCTTTACAATGGTTTTAATTGGGACAGACTGGAATGGACTTTTTCAGTCCTGTGCTTCAGTCTTTCTTAACCTCCTCACTTTCTTCAATTATATCATTGTTTGTTGTTTCAATTCCATTTATTCTGGTCTCTACTGAAACCACTTATTTTATATATGTTGGTTCTTTACAACCTATCCTTTATATATAAAATGTTACAGCCTCCACAAGCATCTTGGAATATTGATGACCGTTTTCACATGGTATTCTTCCTCCCTAGGATATCCATAGGAAATCAGAACACAGACGACAGACTTATCCTTGAGACTGCATTCAGGCAATTCAAAAGATATAAAGTGGAGATTTCAACTGCAATAAAAAAGCCATTTCCTTTCTTTGAGGGTCTTCGTGACCGTGGGCTCATCACCAATAAAATGTATGAAGTAAGTGAGGTTTATTATATCACAATCTGGTAAACTAGCCCCATACTAAGTTATGCTTTGATAACCTGAACGCAGAAGTAAGGGCACAAGTAGCTAACTGAGGAGTGTCCTATGAGAAGAAGACCTTTTCAAGTATTTTTGCAATTGTTCAAGTATTGTGGTAAGGTAAAAAAGGAGAGGGAGAGTAGAAACAGGCATTACTGGAGACAGTCCTGCTTCTAACTGAAGGGATGGTGCTCATAGTGACCACTGGCATCAAGGTGAGTAGCACTGGAGACAGGCTGCATCGGAAGCAGGTGTGCTCCACAGATGTTTAATTCCTTGTAGGAATGCACACAGTAGAGCATAAACTAAGAATTAAAAGAATTTTAATGAATTGATGAATAATTTAAATGAGATGATTTAATGAAATAATAATTGACACAGCATTTCTTTTCAATGAACTTCAATTTAAATAGTTAGATCTGAGAACATTAAAACCCACAGGGAATTGATGTCCTGTTAGGACAAATTGGGGGGTATATGCTTGCTATTCTTTCTCCAATGGTTTTTTTTGGGGGGGGAATCTTTTTTTTTCCATTTATTTACTTATTTTATTTATGCTATTTCTCGACTCTTGGAATTTGGGTTAATTTTAGCAATAGGTGTTGCTGGAGCTACAGAGATGCAAGTCTTCTCCTTGCCCTACAAATATGCTTTCCCTGTGGTCAAGTTCACAAAAGGGGAAACTGTCACCTGCCTTCCTTGAGCCCTTCCAGGCCAAGTCAGTCTTGGTGAAGGGGCAGGAGTTGTCCAGTCAACAGAATAGCTGCTCATCACCTGCCAAGTCTCTTCCTAAAACATTTGACGAAGCTCTTAGAAGCCTACATATCCATTAACTTTGAACCCAAATTTATTCTTCAGAATTGCTCCTTCTTACATCTAATATAAATGAGGGTGGGGAGGTCAGATTCACAAATGGGGATTTCTAAGGAGAAAGGATTTACTATTCCACTTAGTAGCCATACAAATACACAGAAATTCTAAACCTTTATGTGAAAAGATACATATGTATGGAAATTGGAATACATTAACCATAAAATCTCTTTCTAGGGCTCTTCTGTAACGTGGAAGTCTGTATTTATATTTTCTCCATTCAATATTTTTTAGGACTGTCAAGATTCTTGTAGAAACCTGGTCCCTGTATCGAGAGTGGTTTACAATGTTCTCAGTCAGTTGGAGAAGACATTTGACTTGCCGCTTCTGGAAGCTGTGTTCAGTGAGGTCAACCGGCAGGAATATCCTGATTTAAATCACATTTATGAAAGCTTTGTAAAAGGTAATTAGCTTATTATCTACCTTTTGATGTTCAAGGCCAATTTTGTTCAACAAGTATATATTGAGCTTATACCACGAGCCATACATGGTGCTGGGTAGTGGGGATATAACAGTTAACAAAACACACACCATGAGCCTAATTGAAGCTCATGTTATAATGGCTACAGTACAACACCAACCTGGAGCTCTGCTTAACTAGGCATTTAGACTCACAGGACAACTCACAGGACAACCAGAGCCACAGTGGCATCCAATTTAGATAGAAGGACAAATGACAGGGCAGCGGTGGTCTACACAGCAGTCCACTGAGTTCACTACCACCCATCTCAAGCTTAGCTGTGGGTGCAGGATCTATCCTGGCTTGGCAACACCAGATCAATGGGAGTCAGTATCCCCAAAACTCCAGAATCATAACTTTTAGGGACCCCTAGAGGGACAAGCTGAGTTACAAGAATCACCGCATTGAAGGAAGACCTGAGAATAGTCCATAGATCCCAATCCACATGTAATTTACCAGTCACAGGTCATTTTAAGCCCTAAACCCAGGGTTGGCTTAGTAACACAGAAGAAAGGCCAGTTTCGCCAGATTTCCAGAGTAATGAGCAAGAAAGCTGACTCAATATCAAATCTGCCCTTGAAGGAAAACTGGTTTTTCACTTTTTCTCCTCAAATAATCACAAAAGCTCTTCTCTTCCAGGAACTGTTTTTGGTACTATACAAAACTAAATCTTGGGGCTTCCCTGGTGGCGCGGTGGTTGAGAGTCCGCCTGCCGATGCAGGGGACATGGGTTCGTCCCCCGGTCCGGGAGGATCCCACGTGCCGCGGAGCGGCTGGGCCCGTGAGCCATGGCCGCTGAGCCTGCGCGTCCGGAGCCTGTGCTCCGCAACGGGAGAGGCCACAACAGTGAGAGGCCCGCATACCAAAAAAA